AAGCCAGTGTCGAGGTTCTGAGTCTCAGGGTATGTCTACATTGCCCACGTCAAAGTGCTACCAGGATGCTGTTGCTCTTTATCACCAGGGAGGAGCTCTCCCAGTGATTAAAAAAATCCCACCCTGAAGGAGGGTTGGTAGCTTTATCGCTGGGCACTGTGCTCTCGACGATAAAGTGCTGGCTACACTAGGAATGTTAAAATGCATTTAAGTAAGTAAACATGTAACCGTTACTTTCCTGCCTGTTCTCCCCCACACTGCTGCCTCTAACACAGGCAGCAGCACGGCGAGTGAGGTGGGGGGCAGTCGGAAGCCCAAATGTATCCGGAGCCTGCATGTATCCATGAAGCCCAGGCACCTCGGTTATCTGTGTAGATGGTTATACTTTCATATCCTTATAGTGCTGCTTTTCCGTTCTAAAACATTTATCACTCATTAGTGTGCTTTTTTACACTCCTGAAACACTAACGGCTACATCTACGCTGCAAGCTTCTTGCACAAGAGCTGTTTTGCGCAAGAGTTCTTCTGCGAAAGGTCTTCCACAAGAGCGCGTCCACACTGCCATGTGCTTTTGTGGAAGAGCTGTGCAAGAGCGTCCACGGCAGATGCTCTCTTGTGCAAGAAAGCTCTGATGGCCATTTTAGCCATAGGGCTTTCTTTTGCAAGAAATTCATGTTGCCTGTCTACACTACCTTCTTGAGGAAGAGCTCTTGCGCAAGAGGGCTTATTCCTCATCGGGACAGGAATAACTCTTCCGGAAGAAGCCCTGTTTTCCAACGCTGTACTGTAAATTTACTTGCACATGAATGCAAGTGCAGTGTAGACGCTCCTGCAAATTTTGTGCAACCTTGCACAAAAAGCCTGTAGTGTAGACGTAGCCTAAAGTTTTAGAGCTGAAAGTGTAGACATAGTTGTAGATAAAAGGATCAGTGGAGTTTAAATTTGACCCAGAGTGGCCGCATGCCCCTAAATTGTCCTGGGGCAGCCCATCCCTACACCACCTTGAATGGTAGCGGCATAGACCACATTTATTCCACCTTGAATCATCCACAGATGATCTTGCCCCAAATTGCACTACCTCTTGACAGTAGAACCCCTTCAGGTCCCTTCCCCTGAGCCCTAGGGCAGATTTTCCTCTTCTTTCAATAGTAATGTAGAGAAAAGATGGAAAAGTCCACATGGTCCCTTTCCTTCCCCATGTCCCCAGAGAGGCTCTGAGGGGGAACTGGTAGCCCTCTTATGGCAGGGCAAGTGAAAGTTGGTCCCTAGCAGGGATGCAAATACCCCTTAAAAATGTTAACTGGTTAAACAATATAGTGTTAATCATTCACTCAAGTCCAGATAGCCCACAGCAGTCAGGGGGCTCCTCCTGCTTGGCCTTCTGTGGGTGATAGGGCTATTCCAGCCAGCTAAGGTCCTGCTGTATTGTGGGCCATGGGGCTGCTCTAGCCAGCTGGAGTCCCACCACCTTGCAAGTGGCAAGGTTGCTCTAAGAGACAGTGGGGGCAGTTTCAGCCAGAGTCCCAACACAACATGCCACAAGCAGAGAGCTACTCTAGCTTGGTCAGGCTGCTGGTTAACCAGTTACCCGGTAAGTATCACCTGCTCAGGGTGATGTTTACCAGGTAACCCATTAATTCTTTACATCTCTAGATCATATTTCCTATTGAATCAGGCACAAAAGCAAGGAAGTGCCCTAAACATTCTTGATCCTGCAGTCATATACTTACACAGGCGAAGTTATGTAGTTCCACTGACCTCAATGAGACTACTCATATGCATATTTTATATTTATGCATATGTATATTTAGTGGCTCAGTACCCAAGTGAATCTGCACATGCCAGATGGGAAACTGAGAAAGCCAAAAGGAAATGAGTAGAAATACACCATATACACAGCGATCAGATGGTGGCGGATGCGTCATGTTAGCACCAGTCTATAATTTCCTGAACTATTCTTGCTGATATTAAAACTTTTTAAAAAATCACTTTGTCTATTATTTTTCAAATGAATGCTCATATACTGACTTTACCTGATCCATATTTAATATTTGCTCAACTCCTCCAGTTCCTTTAATCATTTTTATCTGTTCCATTTTATGATACTTTTGACCAGCGTTTCCCAAACTATGGGCCAAGGTACCAGGCCACGGGAACCTCAGCGTGGCTGCCGGTAGGGGAG